TTTTTGTATTTTTAGTAGAGACAGGGTTTCACCATGTTGGCCAGGATGGTCTCGATATCTTGACCTCACGATCCACCTGCCTCGGCCTCCCGAAGTGCTGGAATTACAGGTGTGAGCCACCACGCCCTGCCTGTGTGTATTCATTTATAACTTACAGGCACTGTTCATAACCGGTTTGTTCAACATCAATCACACTAACACGCCGTTTTCTTCCTGCACCCACAAGTCTAGGCCCAGGCCATTGCTATCCTGGGGCTGGGATTGCTCTGTGCTGTCAGGCTGCCACTTCTCAGAGGAGGGAACTGAGGTCAGAGAGTCAATCAAGTGAGTTGCTCAGGGTCACTCAGCTGCTACACGGAGGAGGGAGCCAGGTGGGCTGACTGTGAGACAGAACTCCTCCACCGAGCTTGGCTTCCAAGGGCCGCTGGTAAGTGGAGGGGAGGTGGACCCCTTCAGCTGGGCTACAGCCCGTAGCCGAGCCTGTCCTGAACTTCCCCACGGCCAGCTACAGTGAGTACAGCCCCTTGGGTCTTGGGTCACAGACCCTGAGGACCACTGCAGGGATGTCCTGTCGATGGGACTGGCTGTGGGGTGTCCCACAGGGGAACATCCCTTACAAACCTGGATTTCCTCTCATCACTGGGGTACAGTAGGTGTGCTTCAGCTTTCCTGCTTCTAGCAGAGCACCTTTCCCAAATCCCGGGTGGTTCCCAGGGGTGACCCAAACTGGCAGCCAGCCCTCTGCAGCTGTGCGCTGCTCACTACCCCTCCGTTTCCTCCACCTTTCCACTCACACCCCAGGCTGTCCGAAGTGGACCTGTTGGCACTTCCCCACCTTGAGCTTTTTCTGGCCCTTGTTGACACGCTGCCTAGCCATTGAGATTGACCCCACCAGCCTCTTCCTGGAGTGTGAGTCCAGGCTCCTCTGCAGCCCTCGGCCACTGAGTCAAAGGCCTCATGGGTGCCCACGGAGTACTGGCCATCAGTGCCATGAGGCCAGGGCCTGCAGCACCGAGTTGAAGACCTTGTGGGTGCCCACAGAGTGCCCATCAGCACTGCGAGGCCAGGGCCTGCAGCAGGTCTGTGTGCCACTGCACAGCCTCCACAGCAGGATTCTGCCCTTGCCTGGCCCTGATTGCAGGGGTGGCTCTAATGACCGCTTCACGCTGATCACCTTTCTCAGAAAGACTGACAGTGCTGGTCCCCAGGAATCATGCCTCTGAGTGTCCTTGCCTTGTGTTGTCCCTTACCCCCCAACTCTGGGCTGAGTCATAGACTTGTTTTGATCAACCTTCACAGGCTTGACATGAGCTTTAGGGCCTGCCTGCTCTTGTTTCTGAAAACTCTGTTACCCTGTAAAAAAGCTTGAGATCCTGGCCCTGAAGAATCCTGAATTCCAGTCCGGAGACAGAGAAATGGAAACATCCACGCAGGGAAGGTAGCAGCAGGTTTCCTATGATTGGATTAGTTGGCTGTGCCACCATTCAAGCCTGGGGTGCTGGGATGGGCCAGGAGGTAACCCCAGGCCTTACCCCACCCTAGCCCAGAGAATCCTTCTCTGGGTAGAGTCCAGGAAGGCTTTGTTGGCGATTGATCTGACTTCCAGAGATGCCGAGCCCAGCCTGCTAGGGGTCATGATCCATCCATGAGCCAAGCTTTACCACTCAATGGTGGTCCGAGGCTTTCAACAGTGAGAAGGTAGGCCCTGGATGTGCCACGTGAAGGCAGAGGCTGGCAGGTCCCAGGCTGGGGCACCGTGACCTGCACCTTTCCATCTCCCCACCCCAAAGCCAGATCGTGGTCTCTGAATGCCATTTCCCATGGAAAGGAACCAGGTTCTTTGGAGAAGTGACTGGATTTTGCTATGGGAGGAAGGAAGTATACAAGGGGAGCCTGGGAATCTGGTGCCAGAGACCAAAGAAGCACCCAAAATAATGGGGTCACGTCCAAAGGACTTGGGAGCCAAACTAAAGGGCCTCCTACTGGCCTATTAAAAAAAAGGACATTGATGAAAACAGCAAAGACAAGAATATAAAAATTCATAATGATAGTTTTTTTAAATGTTTTTTTTCTTTTGAGGTGGAGTCTCACTCTGTCACCAGGCTGGAGTGCAGTGGTGGGATCTCAGCTCACTGCAACCTCCGCCTTCTGGGTTCAAGCGATTCTCCTGCCTCAGCCTCCGAGTAGCTGGGACTACAGGCGTGCGCCACCACGCCCAGCTAATATTTGTATTTTTAGTAGAGATGGAGTTTCACCATGTTGGCCAGGATGGTCTCGATCTCTTGACCTCGTGATCCGTCCACCTTGGCCTCCCAAAGTGCTGGGATTACAGGCGTGAACCACCCACACCCGGACTAAAAAAGTTTTATTTGAGACAGGGTCTCACTGTGTTGCCCAGGCTGGAGTGCAGTGGTGCGATCATGGTTCACTACAGCCTAGACCTCCCGGCTTAAGTGATCCTCCCACTTCAGTTCCCCTGCTAACCCCCCTGTGAGTAACTGGAAGTACAGGCGCATGCCACCATGAGTGGCTAATTTTTAATTTTTTTGTGTGTGAGATAGGGTCTTGCTCTGTTGCCCAGGTTGGAGTGCAGCGGTGTAATCACAGCTCACTGCAGCCTCAACCTCTTGGGCTCAAGCAGTCCTCCCACCTCAGCCTCCCAAGTAGCTGAGACTTACAGGCACAAATCACACCTGGCTAATTTTTTTTTCTTTTAATTTTTTCGTAGAGACAGGATTTTGCTGTGTTGTCCAGGCTGGTCTTGAACTCCTGAACTCAAGCTGTCCTCCTGCCTCAGCCTCCAAGTTTTTTTAAAAGCACCTATTGATCACCATTGGAGCTGAGAATATTAGGCATGTATCCAACTTTCTTATCTGTACTGTTTCAGGATAATCAAATCATTGAAGGAGAAAGTTCTTTCTAGGAGAATTCCAGGTAATACATGCAACAGAGTATGTCAGAATTAGAAAATTACTAATTCGGGGCCAGGCGTGGTGGCTTATGCCCGTCATCCTAGCACTTTGGGAGGCTGAGGCAGGCAGATGCACACACACACCCCCATATGTCAAGGCCCTGCCCTTTAAGCTAGAACAACTTCCAGGGGATTTAAAGAGCTGGTGCCTTTTAAAGAATCACCCCTTCAGTCGGGCGTGGAGGCTTACGCCTGTAATCCCAGGCTCACGTAATCCTCCCCCAAAAAACAGAATTAAAGGAAGACAGAAAGTCAAGAAAACAAATGACCAACATGAAATATGTTTTTTTTAATTTTATTTTTTGAGACAGTGTCACTGTCACCCAGGCTGAAGTGCAATGGCATGATCTCTGCTCACTACAACCTCCATCTCCTGGATTCAGGTGATTCTCCCACCTCAGCCTCCTGAGTAGCTGGGACTACAGGCATGCACCGCCGTGCCCAGCTAATTTTTTTTTTTTTTTTTTTTGGTAGAGACAGGATTTCACCATGCTGGCCAGGCTGGTCTCAAAACTCCTGATGTCAAGTGATCTGCCTGTCTCAGCCTCCCAAAGTGCTGGAATTATAGGTGTGAGCCACCACACCCAGCCTAACATGAAATATCAATAAAGAGAAAACCGAAAAAGAAACCAAAAGCAATCCTAGGGCTTAAAAGTAGAATAACTGAAATGAAAATTCACTAGAGAGATTCAAAGGCAGATTTGAACAGTCACAAGAAAAGAATGAGGAGAATATGAAGATGCGACAATGGAAATAATTAACTGAGGACAGGAAGAAACAAGGTTGAAGAAGAGGGAACAGAGCCTAAGGTAACCCTGGGACACAATAAAGTGGACCAACATACGCGTTATGGTAGTCACATAAGGGGAAGAGGAAGGACATGCAGGCAGAGAGATTATTTGAAGAAATAATGGCAGAAAACTTTGTGAAATTGGTGGAAGACATGAAAATAAACATCCAAAAAAGATCGATGACCTCTAAAGAAGATGAACTCAGTAAGATCTGCTGGACAAAAGACTTAAACAGATATTTCTCAAAAGAAGCTGTACAAATAGTCAAGAGGTGCATGGAAAAATGCCTAGGATCACTAATCACTAGGGAAATGCAAATTAAAACCACAATGAGATATCACCTCACACCTGTTAGCGTGACTTTTTTCAAAACGTGAAAGATAACAAGTGTTGGCAAGGATGCGGAGAGAAGGGAACCGTTGTACATTGTTGATGGGAATGTAAACTAGTTACACTAAGATGGACAACAGTATGGAGAATCCTCAAAAAAAAAAAAAAAAAAAAAAAAAAAAAGGCCGGGCGCGGTGGCTCAAGCCTGTAATCCCAGCACTTTGGGAGGCCGAGGTGGGTGGATCACGAGGTCAGGAGATCGAGACTATCCTGGCTAACATGGTGAAACCCCGTCTCTACTAAAAATACAAAAAAAACTAGCCGGGCGTGGTGGCGGGCGCCTGTAGTCTCAGCTACTCGGGAGGCTGAGGCGGGAGAATGGCGTGAACCCGGGAGGCGGAGCTTTGCAGTGAGCCGAGATCACGCCACTGCACTCCAGCCTGGGAGACACAGCGAGACTCCGTCTCAAAAAAAAAAAAAAGAAAAAAAAGGACTTACGCAATGATCTAGCAGTCTCTTCTGGGTGTAAATCCAAAGGAATCCAAATCAGTATGTTGGCTGGGCATAATCCTAGCACTTTGGGAGGCCGAGGTGGGAGGATCACAAGCTCAGGAGTACGAAACCAGCCTGAGCAGTGTATCATGACCCCATCTCTACAGAAAATAATTAGCCAGGCGCAGTAGCCTGTGCCTACAGTACCAATTACTCCAGAGGCTGAGGCAGGAGGATCATGTGAGCCCAGGAGATTGAAGCTACAGTGAGCTGTGATCACACCACTGCATTCCAGCCTGGGTGACAGAGCGAGATTCTGGCTCAAAAAACAAACCAGTCAGAATGTAAGTAATGAGATAGAGGACTTGAAAACACAATAAACCGGCGTAGCCTGAGCGTGGGATTCCGCGCGTGCGCTCGGCTCCACCTGGTGCGGCCACTGGACTATGTCGGCCCCGTTTGAGGAGCGGAGTGGGGTGGTTCCGTGCGGGACCCCGTGGGGCCAGTGGTACCAGACCCTGGAGGAGGTGTTCATTGAAGTTCAGGTGCCTCCAGGCACGCGCGCCCAGGATATCCAGTGCGGCCTGCAGAGCCGGCATGTGGCGCTGTCGGTGGGCGGCCGCGAGATCCTCAAGGGCAAACTCTTTGATTCTACAATAGCTGATGAGGGAACATGGACTTTGGAGGATAGAAAAATGGTTCGTATTGTTCTCACAAAGACAAAGAGAGATGCAGCAAATTGTTGGACTTCTCTACTAGAATCTGAATATGCAGCGGATCCTTGGGTGCAAGACCAAATGCGGAGAAAGCTTACATTAGAGAGATTCCAAAAAGAAAATCCTGGTTTTGACTTCAGTGGAGCAGAAATCTCAGGAAACTACACTAAAGGTGGACCAGATTTCTCAAACCTTGAGAAATAACTGCTTTTTTTTCCTGAATTCTGTGGATCCTAGCAGATATTGCCAACTTAATCAGAGAAACAGATTATGTAATGGAAGAAAAATGTGGATGCCTACAGTTAACAGATTGCAAAATATATTTTAAAATGGTTCTAAAAATTGCATTCAAACATGATTTACGTAGGAAATGTACTGTGGGAACTATTCTATGGATACATGGTAAAGTTGTTTTGGACTTGTTTTTGCTCAGCATGAAGTTTTATATGCTGCATTTTACTAATTCCATATTTAACCATATTTTTAATACAAAATAACATTAGAGTATAGATCATGTGAAATGAAGGGTGCCTTTGGGGAAAATTAACTTTTTCTTTTGATAAGTATGATATTCAATAAAGTTTTCTAAATAGGAAAAAAGAAAAAAAAAGAAAACACAATAAACCAGCTAGGTATAATAGACATAGACAAAATATATAACAACAACAGAATCCACATTTCTTAAGTGAGCATGGGACATTTTCCAGGATAGACCATAAGTTTCACCACAAATTAAGTCTCAATAGATTTTAAAAGATATCATTTAAAGTATCTTCTGTGACCACAACAGGATGAGATTAGAGACCAATAATAGAAGGAAACTGGAAAGTTCACAAATTTGTAGAAATTAACACTCATTTAAGAACCAGTGGATGAATGAAGAAATCACAGGGGAAATACAAAAATACGTAGAGACCAGTGAAAACAAAAACACAATATACCAAAACTTACAAGATGCAATGAAAGTAGCGCTAAGGGGCAGATTTGTAACAATAAGCACATTTAAAACATCTCAGCCAGGCACGGTGGTTCATGCCTGAAATCCCAGCAGTTTGGGAGGCCAAGGTGGGAGGATTGCCTGAGCTCAGGAGTTCAAGACTAGCTTGGACAACATGGCGAAATACCGTCTTTATGAAAAATGGAAAAACTAGCCAGGCGTGGTGGCACATGTCTATAGTCCAGACTACTAAAGACGTTGAGGTGGAAGGATCACTTGAGCCTGGGAGGTCGAGGCTGTGGTCACACCGCTGCCCTCCAGCCTGGGCCACAGAGTGAGATCCTGTCTCAAAGAAATATATGTATATTTATATTATATATAATATATAAATGTAATATATATTACACCTGTAATCCCAGCACTTTGGGAGGCTGAGACAGACAGATCACTTGAGCCCAGCAGTTCAAGACCAGACTGACCAACATGGTTGAAACCTTGCCTCTACCAAAAAATACAAAAATTAGCTGGGCGTGGTGGCACACGCCTGTAATCCCAGCTACTTGGGAGGCTGAGGCAGGAGAATTGCTTGAACCCGGGAGGCAGAGGTTGCAGTGAGCTGAGATCACGCCATTGCACTCCAGCCTGGGGGACGGAGTGAGATCTGTCTCAGAAAAATAATAATATATTAAAAACATCTCAAATAAATCAACCACTTAACTTCCCAACTTAAGGACCTAGAAAATTAAGGAGAAACTAGGGTGGGCGCGGTGGCTCACGCCTGTAATCCCAGCACTTTGGGAGGCCAAGCCAGGCGGATCACGAGGTGAGGAGTTTGAGACCAGCCTGACCAACGTGGTGAAGCCTGTCTCTACTAAAAATACAAGATTAGCCGGGCCTGGCTGGTTGCGTGTACCTGTAATCCCAGCTACTCGGGACGCTGAGACGGGAGAATAACTTGAACCCGGGAGGCGGAGGTTGCAGGAGTTGAGATCACGCCATTACACTCCAGCCTGGGAAACAGAGTGCGACTCCGTCTCAAAAAAGAAAAAGAAAATTAAGTAGAAACTAAACCCAAAGCTAGCCCATGAAAGGACATTTAAAAGATTAGAGCATGGCTGGGCGCGGTGGCTTACGCCTGTAATCCCAGCACTTTGGGAGGCCGAGGCGGGCAGATCACAAGGTCAGGAGATCGAGACCACGGTGAAACCCCGTCTCTACTAAAAATACGAAAAATTAGCCGGGCGCGGTTGTGGGCGCCTGTAGTCCCAGCTACTCGGGAGGCTGAGGCAGGAGAATGGCGTGAACCCGGGAGGCGGAGCTTGCAGTGAGCCGAGATCGCGCCACTGCACTCCAGCCTGGGCTGGGCGACAGAGCGAGACTCCGTCTCAAAAAATAAAAAAATAAAAATAAAAAAATAAAAGATTAGAGCAGGCGGGGCACGGTAGCTCATGCCTGTAATCCCAGCACCTTGGGAGGCTGAGGTGGGTGGATTACCTGAGGTCAGGAATTCAACACCAGCCTGGCCAACTTGGCAAAACCTTGTGACTACTAAAAATACAAAAATTAGCTGGGCATGGTGGTGCATGCCCACAATTCCAGTTACTTGGGAGGCTGAGGCAGGAGAATCGCTTGAACCCGGGGGGCAGAAGTTTCAATGAGCCAAGATCATACCACTGCATTCCAGCCTGGGCAACAGAGTGAGACTCCGTCTCAAAAAATAATAATAAATAAATAACAAAGAAATAAAAGATTAGAGCAGAAGTAAATGAAATAAATAATAGAAAAACAACATAGAGCCAGGCATGGTGGCTCATGCCTGCAATCCCAGAACTTTGGGAGGCCAAGACAGGTGGATCACTTCAGCTGAAGAGTTCCAGAGCAGCCTGGCCAACATGGCGAAACCCCATCACTACCAAAAAATACAAAAATTAGCAGGATGTGGTGATGCACATCTGCTTGTGCTGGGGAAGCTGAGGCAGGGGAATTGCTTTAACCCGGTGAGGGGTGAAGGTTGCTGTGAGCTGAGATCGTGCCATTGCACTCCAGCCTGGGTGACAGAGCTTGACTCCGATTCAAAAAACAAAAAACAAACAAACAAAACAAAAGAGAGAGACTAATGCTTTCTTCAGTATGTCAATTGCATTTTTCAAGTCTAGAATTTCTGCCTGATTCTTTTTAGTTATTTCAATCTTTTTGTGAAATTTCTCTGATAGGATTCTGAATTCCTTCTCTCTGTTGTCTTGACTTTATGTTTCCTCAAAACAGCTATTTTGAATCATCTCTCTGAAAGGTCACATATCTGTTTGTCTGGGATTGGTCTCTGGTGCCTTATTTAGTTTGTTTGGTGAGGATATGTTGGATGTTTGTTGGTTTGTGGATGTTTGTTGGTTTGTGGATGTTTGTTCGTTTGTGAATGTTGGTTTGTGGATGTTGTTTGTTGGTTTGTGGATGTTTGTTGGTTTGTGGATGTTTGTTTGTTGGTTTGTGGATGTTTGTTGGTTTGTGGATGTTTTTTGTTGGTTTGTGGATGTTGTTTGTTGGTTTCTGGATGTTTATTGGTTTGTGGATGTTTGTTGGTTTGTGAATGTTTGTTGGTTTGTGGATGTTGTTTGTTGGTTTGTGGATGTTGTTTGTTGGTTTGTGGATGTTTTTTGTTGGTTTGTGGATGTTGTTTGTTGGTTTGTGGATGTTTGTTGGTTTGTGGATGTTGTTTGTTGGTTTGTGAATGTTTGTTGGTTTGTGGATGTTGTTTGTTGGTTTGTGGATGTTTGTTGGTTTGTGGATGTTTTTGTTGGTTTGTGGATGTTGTTTGTTGGTTTGTGGGATGTTTGTTGGTTTGTGGATGTTTGTTGGTTTGTGATTTTTTTTGTTGTTGTTTGTTGGTTTGTGGATGTTGTTTGTTGGTTTGTGGATGTTGTTTGTTGGTTTGTGGATGTTTGTTGGTTTGTGGATGTTGTTTGTTGGTTTGTGGATGTTTGTTGGTTTGTGGATGTTTGTTCGTTTGTGAATGTTGGTTTGTGGATGTTGTTTGTTGGTTTGTGGATGTTTGTTGGTTTGTGGATGTTTTTTGTTGGTTTGTGGATGTTGTTTGTTGGTTTGTGGATGTTTGTTGGTTTGTGGATGTTGTTTGTTGGTTTGTGAATGTTTGTTGGTTTGTGGATGTTGTTTTTTTTTTTTTTTGTTTTGGATGTTTTTTTTGTGTTGGTTTGTGGATGTTGTTTGTTGGTTTGTGGATGTTTGTTGGTTTGTGGATGTTTTTTGTTGGTTTGTGGATGTTGTTTGTTGGTTTGTGGATGTTTGTTGGTTTGTGGATGTTGTTTGTTGGTTTGTGAATGTTTGTTGGTTTGTGGATGTTGTTTGTTGGTTTGTGGATGTTTTTTGTTGGTTTGTGGATGTTGTTTGTTGGTTTGTGAATGTTTGTTGGTTTGTGGATGTTGTTTGTTGGTTTGTGAATGTTTGTTGGTTTGTGGATGTTGTTTGTTGGTTTGTGGATGTTTTTTGTTGGTTTGTGGATGTTGTTTGTTGGTTTGTGGATGTTTGAAGAGTTAGGTATTTATTGTAGTTGTCACAGTATGGGCTTGTTTGTACCTGTCCTTCTTAGGAAGGCTTTCCAAGTATTTGAAGGCACTTGGATGTTGTGATCTAAGTTTTTGGTCACTGCAGCCACAGCTGCATAAAGGGTAGCCCAAGCCCAGTAACATTTGTGCCCATCCCTCTTGAGAAGGCTTTCTGGGTAATCAAAGGGAATTGAGTGTTTTGATCTTAATTCTTTGGTGTCTGTAGCCATATCTGCACTAGTGGGTGCCGCAAGTCCAATAATGCCGCAACTCTTGCTGCCTTGTGCTGCCTTGGTGGGCTTCGGTAAGACCCAGGAGGATTCCCTGGATTACCAGGCAAAGTCTCTAGTTCTCTTCCTTCACTTTCACCCACACAGAAGGAGTCTCTCCTTCCATGTCGGATTGCCAAGAGTTGGGGGAAGGATGGTGCCAGCACTTTCGTGGCCACCACGGCAGGGACTGTGCTGGCTCATACCTGAAGCTAGCACAGTACTGGATCTTGCCTGAGGCCCATGGCAACTACTGCCTGGCTACCACTGATGTTTCCTCCAGGCCTAAGAGCTCTTTAGTCAGCAGGTGGTGAATCCTTTCCCCAATCCTTCGGGGAAGGAGGCTCACTGCTGGCCCAGGGTGGGTCTACAAATGCCACCCAGAAGCTAGGGCTTGTAATCAGGGGCTTCGGGAATCTGCTTGGTGCTTTATTTTACTGTGACTGAGGTGGTACACAAGGGCAAAACAAAGTTCTCTTTACTCTTCCCTCTCCTTTCTACAAGCAGAAGGAAGGAGTCTTTCCCTAAATTGCACTGTCTGGCATTTGGGGGCAGGTGGTGTAAGCACTCCCTGGGCTGCCACAGCTGGTGTCTTACTGGGTTGGGTGCACC